AATTACGAGGTGGCTCCAGCTTTTTTGCGTGCTGCGAGTCGCAACCCTGCTAAATCCCTAACAGCCAAACCCTAAACACAACAACTACACGGAATATTTCTATGCAACTGCACTAGATGGTGCATCTGAATAAACTGAATAATATATCCAAATTTGGTGCAGATCTGATATCGTTATCTAAATCGACCCTGCCTTTGAAAATAATATCGACCCGGCCCGTGTTCTGAAATAAACCCCGCTCCGCGTATTTTGTGTCCCTAAGAAAAAAAATCGACTCAGGGCTCGGTCGGTTTACCGCCATGGGATAGTTTTTCTTTCTACTTCTACTTTGACTACTTTTCTTTTTACTTCTACTTTTCTACTTTTTTCTCTTTTATTCCTATTTCTTCTTTTTTTTTTTTTTTTTCACTCTTACCTTTCTCTCTTTACTTTCTCTTTTTTTTTCTACTATTTCTTGTCCTCTTTTTTTCCTTTCTACCCTCTTCTCTTTCTCTCCTTTGTTATAAACTTCTAAAACTAAAACTTTTTTTTTCCTTTACTTTATGGTATATCTTATAACTACTATCCCTTCGCTCGGGCCGTGGGGCCTTTTTACCTTTTAACGAGTTAAGGATTTTTCTTCCTCCTTTCTTTCTCTCTTTCCTCTTTCTTCCTTTATCTTTCTTTCTTTTTTTCTTTAACCTTATACCTGGTACTCTTTTTAACTACTATCTCTTTACTTAGACTGTGGGGCCTTTTTACCTCCTAACAGGTTAAAGGCTCTTCTCTCTCCTTCTCTTTCTTCTTTCTTCTTTTTCTCTCTTCTTCTTTTTTCTCTTTTCTATAATTTCTTACTTGGTATCTCTTACTACTATTACTCTTTTGCTTGGGCCGCGGGGTCTCTTTATCCTCTAACGGGTTAGAAGCTTTTTCTCCTCCTTTCTTTCTTTCTTTACTCTCTTCTTTTTCTTTCTTTCTTTCTTTTTTTTTTAATCTCTTACCTGGTATCTTTTATAACCACTATTTCTTTGCTCAGGCCGCAGGGCCTCCTTATTCTCTAATAGGTTAGAGGCTTTTCCTACTTCTCTCTTTCTTTCTTTCTCCTTTCTTCTTCTTCTTTCCTTTCTTTCTTTCTTTTTTAACCTCTTACCTGGCACTCTTTATAACTACTATCTCTTTACTTAAGCTGCAGGGCCTCTTTACCCTTTAACAGGTTAGAGACTTTTCCTACTCCTTTCTTTCTTTCTTTTTTCTTTCTTCTTTTTCCTTTCTTTCTTTCTTTTTTTTTTAATCTCTTACCTGGTACCTCTTATAACTACTACCTCTTTGCTCGGACCGCGGGGCCTTTTTACTCTCTAACAGGTTAGGGGCTTTTCTTACTCCTCTCTTTCTTCCTTTCTCCTTTCTTCTTCTTCCTTTCTTTCTTTCTTTTTTTTTTAACCTCTTATCTGGCACCTCTTATAACCACTATCTCTTTACTTAGGCTGTAAGGTCTTCTTATTTCTTAATAGATTAGAGGCTTTTCTTACTCCTCTCTTTCTTCCTTTCTCCTTTCTTCTTCTTCTTTCCTTTCTTTCTTTCTTTTTTAATCTCTTACCTGGTACTCTTTATAACCACTACCTCTTTACTTAGGCCGCGGGGCCTCTTTACCCCCTAATAGGTTAGAGACCGTTCTTTCTTTTCTCTCTCTTTATTTCTCCTTTCTTCATTTTCTTTCTTCATCATATTTTTTTTTTTTTTTTTTTTTAATTGTTTTTTTTTTTTTTTTGGTTTTAATCCTCGTGCCGGGCTGTCTCTTTACCTTCTAATAATAGCCTTTAACTCTTTTTCTTTTATTTTTATTTTTATTTTTATTTTTATTTTTATTTTTATTTTTATTTTTATTTTTATTTTTATTTTTTATTTTTTATTTTTTATTTTTTTCTCTTTCTTTCTTGCTATTTTTGACTCTAACCTATTCATTAAAAACTTTACTAATAATAATTCTAAAAAACTTGTTATAAACTCTTTTATTTTACTTTCTCTTGCTTTGTTTATTTACTTTTATTTATAATTTATTGCTTTTTACTCTTAAATGCTAAACCTAATAAATTTTTCTACTTCTACTCTCCTATAAAACATGTGATCTAATAAAACTCGTTAACTAAATTACTACTCTTAACTACCTCTAACTGTCTCTTTCGCCCTAAATAATGAATTAAACTCTAGTCTAACCTAATATTAACTCTATGCTCTTTTAATTATTGCTGCTACTACTCTTCTACCTACACTTAATATCTAAAAACTAACTCTATAACACCTATTACTAACACTCCCTTATACTGATAATACCTATCTTTTACCCTTTAATATCCACTCCTTCTATTATTCTTCTATTGATTATAAACTTCCTGCGGAACCCTATACTAAAAATAACCTAAATATAGTTTAAACTTAATTACATCCTTAATTATCTTAACCTTTTCCTTTGCAATTCGACTCTCCTGCCTTTGATATTACCTTAAATCGTGATTATCTACTTTTGTTCCTGCTGCCTTATATATCCTGTATTACTCTACCTACCACTGCAACTGCTGCCGTAATTATTCTATTTCTATAAACCTCTATTACCTATGCTGAATGAACTCGTCTCACGACACTCTTTTTTCTTACTTCTATTACTAAAACTTACACTAAATCTCGTCTCTTTCTGTTTCTATGTCTTTATCTACTACCTCTCTACTTATCTCCTTATCTCTTTTCTCTTTTCCTTTTTCTTCTCCTTCTTCTTCTCCTTTCTCTTTTACTTTTTTTTTTATTTCTTTTTCTTCTTCCTCTTCTTCCTCTTCTTTCTTTTCTATACTATTATAAATATTGCATAACTCCTCTCTGCTTTCACAACCTACTTAATTCTCTTTTCTATTTAAATATCTATCTAATACTATCTTTCTATATCTCTCTTTTCTGTCCTTGCCTTTTATGTATATTCTTACTAACTGTTGCTCTTCTTACGTCTGCCCTTCTTACATCTGCTCTTTTTATATCTGCCTTTTTTATATCTACCTTTTTTCCTTATACCTTCTTTTATTGTCCTTATTTATTATGATTACTTTGCTCTTTAATTTATCCCGTCCCGCCCTTCCACTCTCTTATACGTAATCTAATAACGTTTGCGGCTTATCTATATGTATGATATACCTAATATCTATTATATTAACACCTATACCTAATACACTTGTTATAACCATAACCTGTTGTTTTCCTTTTATAAACTTTTTTAACATACTATCTTTTCTAACTGCATGGTAGTAGTATACATTATAACCTAATATCTCTATAATTTTCTTTACCTTCCTAACTATATTATAATACACTATAACCTTTCCTATCTTATATCTCTTTATCTTTCTTTTAATTAAATCTAAAATAATCTTTTTCTTCTCCCACCGTCTTGCTGCTCCGCCTATCTTAACTATTTAATATACTATATTAACTCTTACTATTCTCACCCTGAACATCTTTACCTAATCTGTTTTAAAATACATTCTTTAGTATAACTCCTCTTTTTTACTGGGTAGTAATGTTACTGTTAATAAAACTATTTACATTTCTGTATTTACTAATTTCTCTAACTATTACATCTGTTTACAGAACATGTATTGACGGTTTAATATAATATAATATTTATTAATTATAATTCAGTCTAACTGCCGTGTCGCTTTTAATTAATTTAAAAATATTATGAAATTTTTACTAACTGCTGACTCAGGCGTTACTAATATAACTACTATTATATCTAGTAAACGCCGTCCTTCCTACTCCTTATATGAAATTCCTAACTTCTTATACTGTTACTTTATATCTCTATGTAATATAATTAATAGCACTATTATTACTATTATTTTACCCTACTTAGCCCACACTAGTAACATGAATAATATGCTCTTTCCTACTCCTGTTGGCATTACCGTAACTATTAGACTCTCTCTTACTGTGATTACTTTAATTACTTCCTTTTACACTCCTTAGAACACAGCCTTTTTGCCTATTATATGCCTTAACTACGCTGCTGCGTTTATTTTCTTTAATTACTCCCATTAATTAATTTAACTCTCTTCAGCTTTAGTCTTAAACAGGGTACGCTTTCGCTTCTTTAACTTAGATCCTTTTTCTATAGCTAACCGAAATCCTAAAAACCGGTGCTAATCTATATTTAATGTCTGGAACTATTATCTCTTATCTGCTACTGCTCCCGCCTGTTCTATAATTACCTATATATATATTAAACCCGTAATATGCGATATATACCCAGCCTACTTATTTATAATTACTACTATAATATTCTCTTTATTCTACTCTTTATTCTTATCGCCTCCCTCGGCATTGAACACGGTTAAACTATGTATAAACCTCCTGCTAATACTAATAGCAACTTCGTGATATGCCTAAATTATTAACTCTTACTCTAATCTAATCCTGCTCTCGCGCTTTAATACATGTTATATTTACTCTAACATCTACTTCCTTCCACCCAGGTCTGCCGGCCATATGTGTGATGATATAGCTTCTTTCTCTTATACTATTATCTCTAATTACTATTAGAATAGTAACACTAACTATAAATACTATACTAACAACTCACTTACCTTATGTGGTAAATATCTATAGATGATCTTAACATCTCTACTTATTATATACCCTTTATGGTATCTTGTAACGAACATTACTATACTATCTTTAATAAAAATGTTCCTATGTCTACCTTTTGTTATGTTACTATAGCAAATACTTAATATCTTTAGTGCTCTTACCAGCTGTCCTGCTACTATATACATTAATATAATTAACTTTTCTTAAAACTTAATTACACAGGACATGTATGACTTAACGCCCTGTCAATTAATTTCTAACCTACTATCTAGTTTTAAAAACCTTTCTCTTATTACGGTATCTTCTCTAACCTAATTAAATAACCACATTTCCCTATCCACGGGTAACCGGGTTTGATGATCCTTTAAAAAATTCCACTCAGGTCACTCATTAGTCAGATTATCCCATAACTCATTCTATAGAATCTTAGGTACTTAGTCGGCTATTATATTATTGGAAAATAACAACTCCTCTAATAATAATTACTGACTCTCTGTGGCTAATCCGTGAACCATGCTACAGAACTAGGCCATATTAAAATATAAACCCTTATATAATAACTTGTTATAACCTATTTATTTAATATGGTCTCTTAATATTGTGTTATAATATACCTTTAACCTATACGTCTGTAAATCTAATATCTATTATATTAAACCATAGCTCCCTCAGACTATAAACCTATCTATTATGTTTTAAATAAATTGTAAATAATTTTTCCACTGTAAATCCGCGCTGTCCTCACTCTTATATGTACTATCACTATTAAATTCATTCTCTTAAAATAGCTCTAATAACTCTAATACCTGCTGAATGACTATAAAATAGGCTACCTTAATTATAGCTAATAAAATAGGCAGATACTGCTCCGGTCCCTTCTATCTATCCTTTTTAACCCCTAAAACCGCTAATGCACATACTAACAGGCTATTATACTCTTTACAGGTTATTAATTAGTTTAATAGCTTAATGTAAAACTATAAACACGCCTTTTAGATTCCCGTTAACTCTTCTAGTTTATTACTGTTGTTCTTAGTCGTGCTTTCTTTATCTTCTACTTTGTTCTCTATCTTATCTATCACTATTTCATCTTCTATCTTATCTTCTATTTTATCTTCTTCGTTTATTTGATTCTCTCCTGTAATCTTTTGTTTTATCTGCTTAACTAATACCTCCTACACCTCCTGTTACTAGCAGGTAAATCTATATTTAGGGCTTATCTACTCATGTTCTTTTTATGTATGGGTGAAAAACATTAATATCTACTTCCACAGCCAGCAATTTTTACTAATTAACTTCTTATTTATGTATAGCTGCAATGGCTGGTATTGTGTCTAATACTTTTCTATTTAAATCATCTCTATATAAATAAATACACTAATCTAGTTAATGACTGACGCCTGGCTGAATTAGGTTAACCCATCCATTATCTCCTAAATCACTGCTTTAACGGGCTCTTCTTCTTTATTTAGGTCTATATTAGGTTCCTTCATGCATGCTAACAAATCCGGCCTTTCTATTTCTACTAAATATAATAACTATTGTGTCTGCTTTAACCACAGGTTCACCTCATCCCTCTCACTTTCTTAGATCCTTGTCCGGGCCCTTTTTTTAATATCTACCCATGTGCTTATTATCCTGTCACGTAACTAGGCCCATAACGCCTTATTATTTATAGGAATTAGTTCTAGCTTATTTTATTATCCTTAAACGGGCTGTCGCACTTCGAAATACTGGGATTTATAATAGGTAATAAAAAACTGCTAGCACTGAACGTTTCTGGCCTCTTTCTATATCTACTGCTTAATCCTTATACCTTTTACCGTACCTAAACCTCCACGCTTTATTACCGTTAACTATTAATATACTTTCTATTAATACTCTTTTATACTCTTTTCTTCTTAGCATATATAATAGCATTAGCTTGAGTTTAACTGGCATAATAACCTGTTAATATATGTTAGTAACTGCTTAATTGGCTGGTTAACAGAACTTAGCACCTCTAACTTACTAAGATAATAAATTACATATAGCTAACTTTAAACACCTTCTCCTACTAACTCCGTCTCTTTACGTGATAATTTGTGGTTATGACCTTATAAATAGCCCTTAATTTAATCTAGCTATACTATATATCTGCATTCTTTACAAACAGCTAACTAGTGCTTAACTAAATACTTAAAATACTCTTTTTTAATACGCCCTTCTGTTATTGCTCTTTTATTTTATAACTTTGCTGATTAACTAATGGACTACACCTTTACACTTAAACCCATTACTAGTCCTCTTATTTTTATGTTTAGGTATCTATTTTTTATTTTTTCCTTCTTTTATGAAGATTTGCTGTGATATAATTGTTGGCTTCTTTTTAATTAGCCTCCTAATATAATGTATGCGTTAGGTCACTTAGGTAGTGCTAGCCATAACTTCTAGCACTACCAGAACTAGAAGTTAGGGGTTTCTTAGTATAACTATTACATAACATATAATACATTTCTTCTCTATCTTATAATATCTATCTTTTTAAATATGTTGTAGTTGTAGTTACCTGAGTCACACTAGGCACGCCTGCCTAGTTAGGCTGTATAATAGTTTAATAATAGCACCTAAAGCTTTACTATAGCTGAAGAGTGAGACTTTCTACCTAAATATACCTACACTCCACCTAATAAGAATTATAAAAGGCTCTTTTAGAAGGTAAAGAAGGTAAATCTAAAGGGATATATTCTATTTAATAGTCACAGCGCCAGATAGCTAGTTCCTAATAATCTAACAGCTAAGTATAAACCAGTCTTTATAGCTAATTCTATGCTGTTAGCTATTTAGCTGCTGCGTAAAATGCTTCCTAAAACTACACTTCTAGATATAAGCTAGAAGGCACTAGCCTATATAGTATATTTGCTTATAGAAGACACTTAGGAATCTCTCTCTGTGTAAAGATAACCTAGCTCTTCTTTACCCCCTGCTAAGCGTCTTACTACCAGCCAGACACTAACTCCTAAGCGTGCCAGGATAGAGCTAGATAAGTTAAATAACTAAAATACTTAAAATAGGCCGGATGTGCTAAGCTCTATAAGCATAGAACAGCCACTAGTACCTAGTCTACCTAACGAACCCATTAAGGAAACAGACGTGCTATCTAAAGCAGATATTAAAACAGGGCTGCCAGCTCTAATTACTACTATTATAAACAACAACCATTACGCTAAGTAGAGTTACTAGAAGAAGTAAAAAGTATAAGCGTTAAAGAAAAAGCAGTCCTATAGTTTAATAAAGCCTTATAATAAGGCTCCTTATACTGAGTATATTACCTATGCTAATATATTACCCCATAATAAGCCGCACATTTCCTAGATCTTCAGGTAACCTATTAGTAATGGTACTTCTAACTTTTATAATACTACTAACGCTCTGTATACTACGGCCACCGCTATACTTAAAAAAGCCTATACTCTAGGTAATTAGACTACCCAGCACTATACTATTTCCTTTCTATACAGTTAGCAGCTATATAGATCTCTATTCCTAATACGTTCTATATCTGCCTCTTTCTTTTAACTTACTATAACTTCGTCCGAGCTCGCTAAAGCCTTACTATAGCTAGGTAAAAACAGACTTTCTAAGTATAATACTATTAATTACGCCTTCTGCTATGCTTAGGATATAGTAAATTACTATAAAACACAGCTTACTACTGTTTATGTCTAGTATTACTAGATAATAGCCTTTTTTATTTGTACATATGCTAAAAAGATTACCGCGCTTGAGCAGAAAAACAAGAAGGTAAAAAGAGATCA